TTATCACATAAACCAGTTGTAGTGAACAAATTTAGAATTCCATTACGTCGACTTTATTCATCCGCAAAAGAGGAGATCTATGTGTGCTCGACAGCGACTTCATGAATTGTCTTCACAATGATTTCTGACGCTTCCTCGATCTGAACATGATGGTCTGCGATAAAAAGCCTGTGGTTGAAAAAGAAAACTCGTATTTACGTGAGCAATTTCATAAGCATAACATATGATAAGACCAACTAGTGAGCTCATGAAATTTATACTCGTGGTTACAAGTCACAATGTATCTTTTTATGAATCAGTAGACACCATAAATCAGGGGCGAGTGTAGTGCAGTGGTCAGAGGCGCCCTGCAATACACAAGGGATCGGTTCCCGCACCCGTGGTTCACCAAGCCTTCCATCCCTCCGCGGTCTGCAAATTGGTACCAGACTTGTCTGGGAGGATAGCAGCACCGACTCGATACATCGGTAAGCCACTGCGAATCATTGTAAAGGCCAGATATATATTCAATCACCTCCAGCGATGCTTAATGAAGTCGAATGCATGCGCATCCCTGAGGGAATGATCAACGCCGAGAGCTTTATCCTTTATCTTTAATAAACACCATTTTATAAGCTAACGCTACTAGTTTTCTTCGAGCAGATGATCGACTTATAATAGGATACAGTTCTCTAAAAGAAAATACCAAGCTGCAACGCAACAAATCTCCCTCCGACCTACAATACAACTGACAACTGTCTACACTAGCCCTAGATTCCAGGAAAAGTACGCTAAACCAGCAATAAGTATGTCAGTGAGAAAGACGACGAGCACTCAGCTCGCAACTGAATCCGCACACTAATTCTGTTGCTTTCATGGATGGCGATTGTAAGACAACGAAATAATTGGAAGAAGTACTGAGACCAACTCGACACGTGGAGAAGGGTCATCGAGTAATCAAGAAAAGTCTTCTAGTGCACCCTAAACTAAAAGAAATTACCAGATTATTAACGTAGGTTGCAGTTTTACTCGTTGCCGATAAAGTTGTTTTTTAAGACAATTAAAGGATAAAGCTTTCGGCGTTGATCAATCCATGAGGAGTCATGCACTCAACTTCATTAAACATTGTTAGGAGGTGATTGAATGCATATCTGGCCTGTATAATGACTCGCGGTGGCCTACCGATGTCTTGAGCCAATACCACTATCTTACCAGACAAGTCTGGTACCAACCGAAGGGATGGAGGGCTTGGAGCCTGAGGCGCGGGGATCGATCCCATGTGTAGTGCAGGGCCCCTCCGACCACTGCGCCACACGCACCCCTTTTAAGACAATTATAAAACATAATTGCCGATGACATTCTAGCAAGCACTTACCTGTTCTTTATTAATACAGAGTGGTGGAGTGAATCGGATGATGTCGCCATGCGTGTTTTTCGACAACAAACCGTTCATCAACAAGCGATTACACACCTTCCATGCGTCGATTTCTGCAACAGCAACCAGTTCATATAAATAGCATCTATCGTAGAAACCACTCGATTAAAGTCATTTTTTCAAAAAAGAAAGAAGAAGAAATTGAGCAGCGATACTTAGAACTCTTATAACTTAGTCAACAATGAGTCAACAATACGGTACGTTTGAGAAATAGACTGTTCACAGCTTAAAGAATTCCTCAAAGTATCAAGTTTTTTTTCCTATTTTAGCTTTGCACTACAACGGTTTACCGTGAAAAGGTGTTATTGGGTAAAGACTGGTGATGTGAAAGAAAGAAGTTTATCACTCTATCTATCAAGCACGGTGATGAGTCCGATAGTTCAACCAGGAATCCCTAAAAGTGTATGCAAGGCTTTACTCCTATTCTGGGATAACTTCGAACATAAAGTATCCAACTTTCCTATGATTCACAATGCGCGGAAGACAGCTCCGGTGAGTGGAAACCAGAGACGGCTCTAATAAAGTTATATTAGGAGTTCACGTAATAAAGAAAAGATCTGGAGAAAGGTCCCGTCACGAAATGTTGGTGGTGTTGGGTTAGTCGTCCAACTATCTATTGTCCACCTCGTCACCATTGTGCGAGATCCTTTCTTCTCGCATGGCCGTCCTTCGTCTTCGACTGACGCGTCATAGGAAGATCATAATCATCAATTGCTTCTCATCGACTGATGCAGCTAATGAGTACGAATTAGAAGCGTTTTATTATCAGCTGGAGGAAGTTACTCGCAATGATAAGACGTATGCAAGACTGCTATCTGCAGTGCGCACATTCCATGGAAGCTCGTTTTTTCAGAAGAAAGAAAGTCGCCGCTGGACATCGAAGTCACCTAACGGCACGATTCATGCTGAGATCGACCATGCATGGATCACGTCTGAACCGCGTCTTCGTTTTGCGGATGAAATCGTCATCTTTTCGAGTAGTACCAGTGAAGCACAGACGATGCTCAGTGAACTCAATGAAGCGGGAAAACCGATTGGACTGCGCATAAATAGGATGGAGATCCAGTGTACGAAAAACCAATGATGCGAAGATGAACAAATCAAACTGGATGGTTCTCTGATTATACAGACCACATCGTAACAACATGAAGAAGGAATTAGACAGAAGAAGGATACCAACATGGGGTGCATTTTGGCCACTCAAAGAAGCAATCGAGCAACTGACCCAACGGACGCAAAGCTCCGCGTTCACCTTTTTGATTCAAAAGTCCTCCTAGCGCTCAGTTATGCAGCAGAAGCATGGGCTCATATTTCAACCACGTCAAGAAATTTGAGCACTGCTCATTGAGCGCTTGAACGATGTGTTCTGAAATTTAACTGGCACTCGAGCGTCTAGCCGAAATGCACAGCTCAGATATTCGAAACCTATTCTATCTCTCGAATCCGAGAGAATATATATCAATACCAAAACGCAGATGGTCCAGCGACATAATAACAAGAACCGATGACAGATAGACGGAAAGAACAGTGGAGTAGATTCCAACAGAATGCAAGTGCCCTCTTGGAGCACTCAACTGATAGGCGGACGTGTTCGTGGCCAACGTCAACAGTCTGAACTCGTAGATGGAAACGATTTATCGATAACAGAGCGGATCTCGCGGACATCACCATGTTCGAAGCAGACCAGCACCACAGACGACGACGACAACTGCGCAAGAGAAAACGAATGGAAATTATGTTTGGGTCCATACAAGCAACGAAGACGGACCGTACAAGAATCCAAATAAGCAAGTAAATTTTCCTACCAACCACCAACAAAATTGGAAGCTCGTCCAACGCATTGACTTATGAAGAACAGTGCCAGAACCATGAAAAGGATCATGTGTAGAATCAACACTGAAGTGTAGAAAGTAATAATGGAAGAATGTTTGAAGAATTCGCAGTTGGAACTTTCGGTAAACATCGTACTTTCAACATTCAAAGGATTGTGCAAAAATATAGATGGTATAGAGAACTTCTCCCTTGAAAAGTTCTCTATCTACCTAAATAATAGTATTTGAAGTCCAAATATGGCCGCCTCGCAGTCGCACATCAAACACCGCAATGTAACCTTTGTAATCTTCTCGATCAATTATGTTCAGTGTTTCAGGCACAATAGCGATTCAGGTTTGACTTCAGTAACATACCGACGATAGCTTATCCGAAGTAGGCGTAACAGTGGTACAGTTTACTACTTCCTTGTGAAACAACGAAGCTAATGACGTTCAGTGTTTCAGGCAGTTAGGTACACTCTATTGCGGTCCAGCAATCCAGATTAACCGCGGTTGCATACGCACGCGGCTCCCGCAGCCGATATAAGCCAGGTGCCTTCGACGGCGGAGACATGCCATCACTCACCTTACCCCCGATGGGTAGCGTGGATAATCCGCTTCTCACAACGTCATCCTCAATCATCTTAATCACCTCAACTCATTCTTAGTCATACTCATTTATTCTTATTCAATCACATTCATTCACACATTCACATTCATCCTTCAGTAATCAGCAGATTGTTGTATCTCGTTTCTCAGCTTGTCTACGGTGCGATGTCAGTAGTGGCGGGTGTTTCCAAATGCGTTCTGTTTGCAACGCCATCGGTGGCATGTACCATTCCTCCCACAATGTACGCAATGCGTACAATGCCGCTAAGCGGCCAACTTATGCTATGTATTCTGCTAAGCCGCTATAGGCTTATCAGTTTTGTAGCCATTCATCATACTGGCCCATACCCTTAGGAAATGGTGGCACCCATCGATGCTCAAAGTTCACGTTGCTGAGATAGCGTTATTTACGATCAGCAGCCTGACTGTGTTCCGTAGATGACTCATCACTGTCCATAGCACCGTCAACGCTCATGTAACTTACAGTCCTCATCGATCCACTAAAATGCTCCTCATCGCTATAATGTTGAAATCTTAGCTTGGCCGAAACACGGCCGGTCTGTAACCCTCACCACCTCAGCATACTGTCTCCCTCTCTGCGGCATACAGTCTCCTCCCTCTGCCCCCAGCATACTGTCTCCCTCAGCCGCCGCACCGGCCGCTTATGGCTAACCAAAGGCTACTTCGTTGTATTCTCATTATTATTGTTAATATTGTATTAATGGTATAGTAATGTTTGAATGCCATTGCCTCATTGTTAGCCTCACCTTAGCACCTCAGAGCTCTAACTTGTCTCATTCCTCTACCATTACTTCTCTATCGTTACTACTATGTATTTAGTGTTGTATTGATGTATTAAAGGTTTAATTACCCAAGTTTGAGGCTGGCAGATCAACTACAGCTACTAAAAGACCCGCGTGGCTAATATTCTACATCAATCTGAACCGCTACACTCCGCCACTAACCATTTCGTTACAGATGGAAACAAAAGCACGAGAGGAACGGTAGAGTAAACCTCAAGAGGACACTACCATCTACAAAATGAACGGACATCATTTGCACGGATATGTTTTTAAACCCGGACTAACCAGCCACAACCACAGTTTGACATGTTATTGAAAGCCGCTATGAATTTCTATCTAGATACCATATTTTGTTTTCTGACATTATGAATACGCTATAAAATATAGTACAATGAAAATCATACTAGGATTAATAACGACAGCGCAGAATAGGCCACGTCCACGCACAACGGATACCACGTCCTTCGGTAGCGTCTTCAATTTCGCCATCAGGATTTTGCCCATAGCCGCCGAATTCTCTACGAGGCGCTCGTCGTCAATCACCTGACGATTGTATAGCTTTCGAATGGTATCAACGACGTGAATGGACGACATAAATCGAAGAGGAAGGATTAACGAAATTTCAGAGTACAATAAGTATTCCCCATTCCCTCAATACATTCGCGATCTCATGCATTAGTTTCAATCCGTGTGGTGATTGCATAGTATGCATCGATTTCAACGTATTTTTTCCGGTTGTTAATACTTCCGTATTGACTTTTCTCTTTGCCATTATTTTTGACTTCAACCAATAGCTTCCCTAAGCTATATTCTACACTTAATGGTTTATAAAAAGCGTTTTGGCACGAATGAGTTCATACCACCACAAAGCTGTTCCCGATGAGGAAGGTACAAGAATATCTTTGCGGCCTGTGGCACCACAGTTCCATAAGCTATTTATTATGATTTCTCTGTCGTACAGACACAATTACATGAATCCCGCAGCGTATTGTCCTTCACGCTGACTGAGTGATAGACTGTTGTCAATCAAGAATACATTTGATGATTCGTTTTCTTGTTCTTTGTGAATAGTGGGCGGCTAAGGGCACAACGGACCGCATGAGTTGAGTTCGATGCCTACCACACGCGAAGAAAAAGTTAGGCGCAGCCAAAAGTGGATATCAACGAAAATTGTATCTGACCGCGATTGTGTTAATGGACTGGAGAAAAGAACATCGTACGTAGCTGGTGTGATCTCACCTTAAGGGCTTCAATCGCAACACGACATGCGACGGGATTTCCTCCGTAGGTGGAGCCATGTTGACCCGGCTTTATATTCAACATAATGTGGTCATCACATAGCACAGCGGATGCCTGAGTTCCAATAACGATTCTTGATTCAGATGCACATTTTTTTTGAATTCGTGTTTAAGGACAAGTTATAACTGCTGCATATAAACATTGTTGCTTCAAAAACGAAGCAGTGAAGTACTATTCTTAGGACTGACTTCATCATATTGATACTCTGTTTAGGATCGCTCTAAATGATCAGTACGTTGGTTTATTTATAAGCTAATGTGAGAATGGCGACAAATTCTTATTGCAGTTGGCGACACGAACGCCATCATCATCTCTGTGCCCGCAATGACTAGATTCGAGTGCCTACAGTACGGGCTACTCCTATGATGTTCATCCTGCTCGATTCAACTCGTTGCGACTTCGAAAATACTCACCACAAAAGACAGGTGTATTGTGGATATTCGTCTCGAATCAGTTAGGCTCTGAGGAAGGCCATACTGCCGAAACTTCAACCACAAGAAGATTTGTAGCCAATCTCATGTAAGCTTATCAATAAAACAACACATACTGTCGTGAATTCAATTACTTCGAATGTTTACGCTGAAAATTGTTTCCTACAGAGTAAAAGACACTTGTCTTTCTATTTTCAATGTTTTCAGTGCATCTCCTTATTAATCAAATTCTCTACTTCTCTACCAAAACTACTACATTTCTTCCAAGTAAATGTTGTCAGTAAAAGTTAATAGTAGGATGATGTTCAAATCCAGAATCCACGAACCGGATAGACACCACCTGAAAGTGCCTTGCCGAGAATCACAATGTCTGGACGAACACCCTCGTAATAGTGAGCCAGCAATCTAAGTAGTACACGTTCTTCATAAGGAACTCATTTGTTAAATAATCATTCATGTACGTCTTAGTATGATGACGTAAGCACAAAATAATGCCCGGCATCAAAGACGTCACCGGTTTAATTTAGTCAAAAGAATACATCACACTGTTGAATAAGCAGAAGGAATACTCCACATCTAATGAGTCTATTATATGCGAAACGCTCAAGATCTCTTCCTATGCAATTTGCGAAACCTAACTGACAATGCTTTTATAAAGACATGCCAACAGCAAATTTCGCCCAGCAAAATTTGTTGTCGGCGAAGTTTTGACTGACTTGTTCAGTAATTTCCGTCGTAGATGACTGTAATCATTCGTTTCGAAGTCTGATAAAATTTAACCCACTCTCCAGTTCTCCCCAATCCGGATTGAACTTCATCAGCAATGAAAAGCACATTGTGCTTCTTGCATAACTCAGCAACACCCTAAAAATTGTAGGACTTTAGCAAGTAAACGAGGTCATTTCTACTACTCCGAACTTTTCTGCGTTTGATATTCTTCCATCAAGAAACGTATAAAAAGCGAAAACGCCTGGAATCGGCTCTACCTTCAAGTATCCATCGTCTGGTACAACTACGCCAGCTTCACCCTGAATCGGTTCAACCATAAAGGCAGCCGTGTTCGGATCGGAAATGCCCTTCTAAAACAGAATTGATATCAAGCACTAAATCTGGAAAAAAAAACATCTGCATCTCTCAGATTATCTTCACGCGAACAAGATATTTCATCCACAAAGAGGCATACATAGTTCTTTCCGGCCCTATAAACAAACCTATGTGTTCACTCAAAATACAATAGTAAGTTGCTTATGGTAACTATGATCAAGTCCTAATAAAACCCCGGAAAATAACTAATAACTGCCTAATGGGTTACCCCTCATCTAAAAACCTAACTCTTCTAACTCTGAAAGTGCATTTAATGTCAAATAAGCATGGTACTAAGGAAAAATCAAAGAAACTTTAAAGGTGCAACGTTTTAAGAACTAGGATGGATGATGATGACAAATGATTCTAAATCACGACTTCAATTACATCCATTACGACTTCACACTTGGAGATCATAGGGATCAAGTACATACCCACAGGAAATGATGATGTCATTTATCACATATCTATGCTCCGATAGTAGCAGCGCTATAACCTATTACTTATGAACGCAAAGAGTCGACAAAACAGAATTTCTTCTCAATAAAACTGTGGTCACCTTATAATTAGAGGACTTTATAATCTGAATTGAGCATCATCGACCGAAAATGAGAAAACTGCCTCTACGAAATGTGGCGTAGCGTTCCTATCCTGCTATGCGCATCGTCATTTGTTAACCCCATCTCACCCCAAGCTAATTAGACCGCTCGTCGTTCCAGGAACCGCAGATCAGTAGCAGACTTGAAACACTGACATGACATATTGATATTCCCTTGTAAGAAACGGAGTAGATCAAAAACATCAACGAACTATGCAAGTTGCATTTTCGAGACAACCAGTCAAAATGCAGTAACGGTAGAAGGAACATAGGCAGAATAGCGAAAATCCTTGATGTTGCCCAGAAATCCGAAAGACTGCGTGGATGCGAAGAATCGACATACAAGGCTACAAATATTTCAAAAATGAGTAAACGCTAGACGTCAAATTGCCACTATAAAGGACTAGTACAAGTACTAGAATTCTGGTGACTCGTTAAACCCAATGCGAGATTGGTAACAGCATAGATTAAGACATACTGGTACAGAAGAACAAAATCCAGGGAAATGTCAGTTGTCGTAGATTCCTCATGTGAGTAAAGCCAACCTATTTCATGTTTTTAGCCCATTATAGAAATGAATGTAGGAGTTGTTAGCGTTCCATGATCCTAACAACAGGAGAGGTTGTGAAGATCATTCTCCCATTAAAGTGAGTGACTAATGCAACTAGGTGGTTTGGGTGAAGTGATGAATGACCACTTTCGGCATAGAGGCTGCAATTGCGTTCATGTAAGACTAGATTTACCGTATTCGTGATAAAGAAATCGTAAGCTCTACAACCACGTCGAAGTCAACTACCCAGATTGGTTTTCTTCAAGTGAAACTTTGTTGGTTATACAAATATGCTTTGCGTCCAGTCAATTTTTGCAAAGAATGCTTATTTCTAGACTGCTGACTGATTGTATTAGTGTTGAGATTGAACTATTCTAAGGGAAGGACTGAAAAGGTCACTCAAATAATTTAAAAGAGTAGAAGTGAGGCGTGTGAAGCGCAGTGGTGCTCCTAAGAGCATGTGGTTGGTGGTTCGAACTCGTGCTTTGGTGAGACAAAGCCCACTATTCCTTTATCGTTTAATATGCAGATAGAGAGGGCTTCATGAACGAAACTCGTCTCGACTAATCGGATTTTACAGTTGGCACTCAATTTACCTCCAGGCTTTTCAAGTCATTGTAAGGAATTTTTTCGAACATTGGTACAAACGGTCCGAATCCGCCGTACGATTCAGGATCTGTGGACGCTGAAACGGCAGCGATCGAACGACCCCAAAAATTTTCATTTGCGAATACAACCTAAAAACTGACACTGGTGGAAAATAAAACAGCGAAACGAACAGTAATATAATGGAAAGAATTAAATAAAAACAACTAAAATAGAGGGTGAGATTACCTTGGCTTGGTTGTTTGGTACCTTTTTCACATCGTATGCCCATCGACGTGCAAGCTTTACGGCCGAATCGCAAGCCTCAACACCTAAGTATACAAAGAATAAAATTGTTCATTTCATAAGCGCTAAGAAATCAGTAAAATAATGTTTTCTTCTTGAGCATACACGATGCAGTTAATATAAGATTTCTTCTACAGTGGCCGATATTTCGGTAGTTTCGACCTCCTCAGCACTTGGGAAGATCGACTCGACAGAACAGCCTACTCAGCCAAATACTTCCATAACCTTAGCAAAAAAGGCGTAAAATCTTCCAATTACTGGTGGAGACTGGCTCCGCAGAGTTTATATGGGTGAGATATGTGCTTGTTTTCTGGCCAGTCTCTATCAAATAACTATAAGCCGTACAAAGAACGGAAAGATAAATGTTCAAAAGACGCTGTTTCCCATGTGATCGAAATCTAGTTAGTGAGTTCTTCAGCTGGATTATGAAAGACTGATTGAGCAAACGCATGTCACTTTGAGTCTCCCAGACTCTGAGGAAGCCGAAACCGCACAAAGCACAGCCAGTACTGGACAGATTTCGTTATTAATAACCTCGTGTCTGCTCGAATAGAAAACACTAACATGCTGATTAGTGCTGACGTTCACAGGTCTTGGAGACTAACAATCAGTCATGCTTTTTTTAATCAACAATCGTTTTCTTTAGAAGCACCTCCATGAATTTCTAATCTCATGTTTATTTATCCCTGATCAATACATCCTTCCTGAACCCACTCATATTGGTTGAAAGAGTTGAAAAAAAGATTCTGAAAACCAATGGAAAACCAAAAACATAAATTTTCCTTTGGTTTAACTTATACAACTGCGTTGGATATTCTAAGAGGAAAATTCGAAAATAAAAGGACATCAGCTATGTTTCATTTCAATAGAAGAGCAAAAATAGAGCGAGTACCGGTGTTCATCGGCAGCACTTTCTCGTATTTGAACTTCTTCACCAAGAACTCCTCGTACTCGCCGAGGACGTCGTTGAAGAAAGCGCGCGACGTCAAGCTGAGTTGCTGCAGCTGGTTTACGGCGGCCTAAAAAACAACCAGCATTGGGGAGGGTAGGTGACACGGAACAACAATGATCAGGCTAAAAGACGTAAAAGGTGACGAAGTCACCAGTATCGCTTGGCATAAAATAGCCTCTGAGAGAAAAACCTGATGATTCTCACTAGCGCAAAAGTTGAGAAGAAAATCAATTAAAAACTTGGACTGCATGGAAACAGACCCCAATAGCTTTTAAAGAAATTCAGCCTAATGTCTAGGATCCCCACAGACTTTGTTTTAAGATGTTTCAAAAAATCATTTATTAAAACAAGGTATGAATTTTTAGCACTTACGAGGACAGCAACAATGGTAGCTACAGTATATATATATATATATATATATATATATATGTATACATATATATATGCATATATACATATATATGTACATGTGTATATATATGTATATAAGCGCAGGTATGTATATATATATGCAACAATAAAAGAAATAATGGTAAGCGTGATGAAATTCTAACCGCGACGATACGAGGATGACAATGACCCTGGTTAACAGCCGAATATGCAGCAAGGAAGTCGAAATATCGCTTACCAGCCACATCCCATACGAAAACACCTTAAAGATTTCCAATATTTCAATTTTTATTTGACTATTAAAGACGTACTGCCTATATGTGGGACAAGGTGAAAAAAAATAAAAGAAAGGATAAAGCTCTCAGCGTTGATCAAACCCTGAAGGATGCGCCATGCATTCGACTTCAGTAAGCATCGCTTGGAGACGACTGAATGCATATCTAGCCTTTACAATGACTCGCGGCGGTCTACCAATGTAATAAGTCAGTGCTGCTATCCTCCCAGACAGGTCTGGTACCAAGTAAGCGATCCCAGAGGGATGGAAGGCTTGGTGGGCCATGGGCGCGGAGATCGATTCCACGTGCGTGCCACAGTGGCGCCTCCAACCACTGCGCCACACGCAGCCTGAAAAAAAGGAAAAAATAAAGAGAAGGATACCTAGACATGATTGGACATTTGATAAATCTAACTATAAACCTTACTGGAATGTGGTAGAAAGAGTACTTCAGGATTCGACGGGAAACCACGCTCGACCAGTAATTAACTCCAGAGTGAGAAAAAAGCGATAGATTCCAATGCCGCTGGCCAAATCCACACATGAACCTGATCTCTATGGGTGAGGAATGCAAGACAACGAAAGGTATCGAAGAATGTCTAAGCTCTACTCGCCATATGAGGAAACAGGCTAACTGAGGAATTACCTAAGTAATCTTTATTTAATTCTCTACCATCATATTGAACGACTTTGGAAAACATTCTATTTCGACGTTTCGATTTCTACTGTGGTCATAGAGGTTGGTGAATGCTTAGAGGCACCGCATCGACATCCGGTATCGTTGCTTTCACGACCTTCAGTAGGTTGTTGTCTGATTCAATGAACGGGCTACACAATGGATCATCATCCTGAATACGGGCATTCACAAAGTCAACTTGTCTACTAGTTCAATGAGATCATCTCTTCTGTTTGACAAGATCATTCGAGATAAAAACGTTTTCCAAGTCGTTCACATTTTGATTCATGAAAGATATATCATGCTAGCGATCGTGCCTTCGTACATACATTTCCTGCACTATTTTTGAAAGCATGAATACGTCAACTTGAAATCTGCTCACATCAACAGTGCCCCAGTTCAAAACTTGCGATTCAATCTAGAATTTTCATCAATCCTTCTTCACTTAATAGTCGCACATAATCAATCATAGTGTCACGACGCCATGCACTTGCTACCAGATTGGATTGAAAACAACGCAAGTTCACCTACTCAGAGACGAGTAGTGACAAAGACGCTCAGCTCTCAACATTTCACTCGTACTCAGCACGCAAATGTACTACTTTAGAAAACCGTCGACGGACTACACCGACTATTTTCTTGTTTGTATGTATGACTTTGATCACACGTTTTCTCGTTGACTGTTAAGTGACCTCAGTAGGTGCCAACACATTCACCAGTTCTCCTTCTCGGTGGTGCAGTAGTCCAGTCGTTTCTACATGATCTATGAACTCGCTTATTTTGAAAGATTTTAACGAAGAATTCTAATCAACGGGTCGTCAGTTTTATTTCTGCATGTTTAAATTTCTAAAGGACTCTTTCGCTAGTGGCTCTTTGTCCACCCACCAGTTGTCCATCACGTGCCCAACCGACCCGGTTCTCGACATCTTGACGTGTACGGTGGCGATTCTACCACTTAGCCCTTGACGTAGTTCGGAATTTCGAATACTTTGTCTCATTCTGTGTTCGTATCACTGTCTCGATATGGTGTTAGATAACGCTACGTGGCCCTTCATCTGGCATGCGCATCCCAGCTCTCTGATGTGTATCTTATGACAGCACGCATCGGATACTCGAGAAGTTGGGAACGGAATTGAGTGTTGTTTGCCATTTTCACCACATCGCCGATGCTCCTGAAGAATCCTCAAGCCGCCTGTTCTCTCCTGCTCAGCTCTGGAACTAAGTCGTTCATCATATCAATTTATCGACGACCTACGTACACTAAGCCGTATTCACTGAGATGAGCACAGCAGCACTAGCATTAAAAATACTTCAGCTCTTCATTAAATTTGTAAAGCGTTCAACAAATTAGAAGGATAGAATAACAAAAAATACGTCCAGGATATGAAAGTCGCTTAGTCACCGAGGCTTCAACTACCGAAGTTGAAGGATATGTGTTAACAACACTTTGTAAGCTCATCAAAGATAGTTCGCAAAAATAAGACAACTTAATTATTAGTGAGGAGGTGAACTGAAGTCCTTTCAAATATAAAAAATGGTCATTTTCTCCTGACCTCGAAAGTGACATGGCTTTGCACATATACCGTAAAACCCAAGTGGGACAACGATCACGTAACATCAGATCACTGATTTTATCAGCTATCAAGCAGTGTCCACGGATCTCCCTCATATGAGAGACCACGAGCTGATTAGTCGCGAGGCTACGTGGCGCATTCCCAGGTGGCGGATAGGGGGTTAATCGCGGACCAAAAGCGACCTTTGCTTCCCTGAGATGCAGCTGCATCCAGAGAATGGACTCCTTGTTTCTGCTGCCTGATTTGGCACATACTTTCTGTATTTGATAGGCGTATTCATGCATGCGTGTGTGGGTGCGTTCTTGCTTATGTGGATTGTATTCTACGAGTCAATTCGGCCGAAAGCCTGCAATCAAGCGACAGTGAAGTATATGGGAAGCGAGTAGGAGTCGCTTCCAACGAAAAAGCTCCATGTCCACTCTGGAAAAGCCTGGCAAGCTACCCGTGAGTATACCCAGCCCCCACGTTCAGAGCCCAGCAAGCTATACGTGGGCATCAAAAATGCTAAACACATTTAAAAAAAGACCTCATTCCCCTGAACTCGAAAGGGCTCCCAATTTCGCAGCGTTGGGTAGGGCGAGTACCCACATGCTGCTAAAATCTCAAGGCCAATGGAAGCTGCTTGAATTTCAAAGAACTATGGTGACGATCTGTACCTACAATGCACGTGCACTTGCATCCCAGTCCTCGATAGAAGACTTGCTCATGCAAGCAAGAAGGATAAGGTACGACATCATCGGCCTGGCTGAGACGAGAAGACGCCAGCCTTTCAACGCTGTCTAGGACATCGGAGAACTGTTCCTCGGAACATGAGACAGTAGAGGAGTCGGCGCCGTCGGCGTTCTCGTCAACACGAGTTTGTCCATGAACATCGATTCACTCGAACAACTTACAACACGAATCGGACGTTTACGATTAAAAAGACGTGGATCAATTCCGACTTTGTCAATCTTCGTCGTTTACGCGCCGACATCAAACTATGACGAAGAAGAAGTCGAAGCGTTCTATATGGACTTGGAAAAGTTCTACAGAGAAGACCGTCTTCATTACGTTCTTCAAAGTCATCATTGGAGATTTTAACGCCGAGACTGGACCAAGAAGAACGTCTGAAAAATGTCACACTGGCACCCATATATTAGAATGGAACGAACAGGGTGAGCGGCTATTTGAGTTTATCACGGCGACCAAGACCATCCATGGTAGCTCGCAATTGCAAAAGCCCCACCCTCAATGCTGGACATGGGAGTTTCCCAATGGAGAGTACCATAACGAAATAGACCGCATTATAGTAAATGGAAGGTGTTACCTAAACGATGTCGCTGTTCTCCCAAAATTCTACACGGGATTAGACCATCGATCTTTCGTGGAAGGTTCTATTCCTCGCGGAAAAGAGAAAAAGCCACTAAATTCCAAAACCGAAGTCCCAGAACCACCGTAAACTGGGATTTATTCAATTCATTCGTCGGCTGTAGGGAAGATGCCGTTGTCGATAACATTGACAAAGAATACGATCGGCTCATTCAAGATTCATTCATTCAATCATTCAAGATCTTCACGTTAGCGCTACGAAAGCTCAGAGTTCGAAAGCCACCAAGAGACGTCTGTCCCCAGAAACTCTCGAGCTGACACGCCAGCGTGGAATCGCACAAGCTGCAGGCAACCGCGAACTAACGTTCGAACTTGCAAAACAATGCAGACAGGAGATAAAAGATCTTAGAGAGAGAGGAGCAGCAGTAATGGCCGAAGCTGCAGAAGCAGGGAAAAGCATTCGCAAAGCCCACCGAAGCTTTGCCAATTACAAGACCAAAATGACTGCACTCCGACATCCAGAAGGAACAGCTACAGCGTCCAGAAAGGCAATGGGGAAAATCATTCACGAATACTACTCGGATCTCTTCGATAGGCACGTCCACCTTACGTCATATGAAATAAAGGAGGATGGATATGTATGTTGTACCACCGGTTCTCCTTCCGAAATTCGACATGCCATTTCGTCGGTGAAAAATCGAACAGCACCAGGTCCATAGAGGATAAAACCAGAACACCTGAAGAACCTACCGCCAGTCCTCGTGAACACACTGGCTCGGCTGTTCACACGTTACCTGTCTGAATGCAAGGTCCCTACTCAGTGGAAGACCAGCAAGACCGTGTTTTTGTTCAAGAAGGGTGACTTGCACGATATCGGCAACTATCGCCCAATCTGCTTACTGTCTGTCGTCTACAAACTTTTCACACGAGTTATCCTAAACAGGATTGACAGAGCACTGGTCCAAGGACAGCCATGTGAGCAAGCAGGGTTTCGAAGAGGATTTAGTACGGTGGACCACATCCACACGGTAACACGGCTCATTGAATTATCGCGACAGTACAAAAGACCGCTCTGTCTCAATTTCATTGATTTACAGAAGGCCTTTGATTCAGTTGAGATAAAAGCAGTCTTGGAAGCCCTTGATAGTCAAGGAGTCCCTACTCAGTACATAAAGATTCTTCGTGAGCTGTAGAAAAATTTCACAACCAAAGTATCACCATTCTATAACAATATTAACATTGACGTTAAAAGAGGAGTTGGACAAGACGATACCATCTCACTAAAATTATTTACCACCACTCTCCAGAACGTCATACGAACATTGGAATGGGATAATATGGGAGCGAAAATCGACGGTCGGCAGCTACACCATCTACGCTTTGCTGATGACGTCGTCTTTATAACACCAAACATTAGCCAAGCGGAACGTATGCTTGACGACTTTGATAAGGCCTGTGGAAAGATTGGTCTTCGACTAAATCTCACAAAAACGATGCTCATGAAGAACGGATTGGTTTCGCATGTCCCATTCACGCTCAACGGAACGAATATCTTCGAATGTTCCAGTTATATCTATCTAGATCGGGAAATCAATATGATGAACGACCTAGCTCCAGAGCTGAGCAGAAGAAAACGAGCGGCTTGGGGAACTTTCAAGAGCATCGAGGATGTAGTGAAGAGAACAAAGAACACCCGACTTCGTGCCCACCTTTTCGACTCAACGGTACTTCCTGCCCTAACGTATGCGTCAGAAACCTGGTCGCTGCGTAAGTAGGAAGAAAGGTCACTCAGCGTTATCGAACGCGCAGTCGAAAAGACGACGCTGGGAGTATCCCGTTTCACATTAGTAAGGGAAGGAATCCGAAGGTCCGATCTGCGTTAACGATCAAAAATCAAAGATGCCGTTCTGTACGCCAAACAGTCGAAGATAAGGTGGGCTGGACACGTAATGCGTTTGAATGACAACCGATGGACAATAGCCGTTAATGACTGGATTCCTCAGGGTGTTAAACGCACTGCAGGAAGACCACCGACTCGATAGTCAGAGTTCTTCACAAAGAGCCTCGAAGAAAAATATGATACCCGACGAGTCCCTAGAGCGAGCAGGACCCACTGGGCTACTCTTGAACGCGACAGGGAAAAATGGAAGATTTACTGGCGCCCGCTCGAGTCACTCGACGATCAACGGGACTACAGGTGACACAGATGACACGTGATCAAGCAGTGTACTGATTCGCCGACCAAAGGATAACGAAACACTTATCAAAGAGAAGACACTAGTAAAAAACTTGACAATCTTGCAAATTCATCTATCGTCCGTCCTACCGATTCTCTTCATGTACTTTAGGACAACATTTCGTTAGACTTAAAAAAATCCCCATAATTTAAATTAAAAGGAGGTCGAAAAAAGAAACGGATCATTTTACAGAAGTTCTTTCTTCGAGACGTTATCTCTGTTGAAGCCATACTTTCTAAAGAAAGAACAACAACGGTTGGTAGTGCAGAGACTTCGTCTGATAAAACAATTGTTAATGACGTCCTATTCCCCTATGACTGGCTTGTCAACAAATCCGATCGCGAACTTTAAACTTCAGCTTGAAGCTGCATTAGGTGCTGATAGGTCTGCTGCATGGAATGGGAGTCCCGAAAGGCGCTAATTCTAACTGCAAAAACTTTAAATGAGATCTCCACGAAGAGGAAACTTGGCAGAAATCAGCTGAACACTCAACGAATTCTTTTTTATTGGAACCGAGAATCAAAAAATGTGAAGCTGAGATGAAGATCAGCAAATGGTCTCCACAGGGTACCACTTTCAAGTCTACAAACAGATCACTGCTTTCCAGTTGCCGATGTTATACACACACAGTAAGTACCCTTGATCAAGGAGCACGTGTAGCGCAGTGGTTAAAGGTACCTTGTAATAAACACGATCTTAGGTTTGATTCCTCCCTCTGTGTTCATCAGACGTTTGTTTTATCCCTCTGGGGGCGGAAAATTACTACCAGACTTGTCTGGGAGGAGACCAGCACTGAAATGATACATCGATAAGACACCACAACTTATTACATAGGCTAGTTGTGCATTCAATCATTTCTAACGATGCTTGATGAAAACGAATAGATGGCGCATCCCTCTAAGACTGATAAACGTTGAAAGCTTTATCCTTTACACTTTTTACCTCTTGTTTCAATTCTTTAATCATTAAATAAACAGATGAATGAATAACGAAGGCGATGTGCTTACCCTCTCCTTTGGTTAACGCGACTGGAAGTGGTTTATAGTTGTGACATCCATATTTGTCTTCTTTAGCGAAAATTTCTTGGGCGGATAGAGTTCGCAATACGTTGCAATACGAAAAATGCCTAAGCTGTTTCAGTGTGGAGATCATCCTGAAATGGAGATGTAAGCTAGGTATCAAATCACTCACTGCTGATAGAATGCATCAGTTTTAGAAGCAACTGAAATCAAATGAAACGCGAGAACCGGCCAAAGTTGTATTTAATACGAAAGCCGAAAGGTTCAATGATGCTGAGATATTTCCAAAGCTCCGAACCGCAGGTGTATGCGGTGGGGAACGAACACGCTATTGTCCTTTCCGGGGAGTAGCGCGCTCACCACCACACCACGCGGGTCCTTCGTTTCGCCTGTCTCTCAGCTAGTTCTATCGATCTTTTGCCATCAGCAATCACCCGTCAGCGGGATTGATCAGAGGGTCCAAATCGGCAAAGAATCCAGTTAAGCTGAGGCCGCAGTTATAATCACAATTTTAACTTATCATTTACTGCCTACTCTTTTTAACGGTAGGTGATTGCTGATGGCAAAAGATGGATAGAACTAGCTGAGAGAGGCGAAACGAAGGACCCGCGTGGTATGGTGGTGAGCGCGCTACTCCCCGGAAAGGATAATAGCGTGTTCGTTCCCCACCGAATATACCTGCGGAGTTTTGCAAATATCTCAGCATCATTGAAGTTATATTTCGCAATTTATACTCTGCCGTTAAAAAGAGTAGGCAGTAAATAATAAGTTAAAATTGCCGATAGGTTCTTTATCAAACAGTAAGAAACAGATTGTTCTCAGCAACGAAATGTTAATTCAACAGAGGTTCATAACTTACACAAAACACAGCAACTATGCCATAACCAGAACAAGAATGAATCGAAACCAGTACTACCATCACGTTGGGATTATATAAAGCATTCTGTATCTCATGCTGAATATTCTTTATCTTTGTCCCCTCACACAGACTCAAACTTTCTAATATATTACCCGTGAAATATGCTTAAAAATTTCTGGTGTGCTTTCCGTATAAATCAATGCCCATAACATTCTATTAATTGTAGCGTAACTAGCTGCGAGGTGATGCATAACTTGGCTCAGTACGATAGATAACAGTTACCAACTCCAAATAGTAAGAATCACTGTCTACTA